ATACGTATAGGATCTAGCCTTCTATATATAACTATATAGCTTAGGCTATAGCCTAAGCCTATAACTTATAATAGTTAAAGACTCTTATAGATATCTCTAAGAACTATAAAATTAAGCTATACTTTATAATAATAATAACTTTTAGACTATTAAGCTTTTAACTAAATTAAGCGTAAAGCTTAAGATAAACCTTAAGTACGTTAACGTTTATAAATACTAGCTTTATAAAGAGGTATAGTAAGATTAAATATAAGTTAGCTAGATCGTATTAATAAAGTAAGTATTACTATTTATATATACGCTTTATTTTTAAGATATATATTAACGCTAGCCCGCCCTACTTATTTATACTACGCCTATATAGTAGGTAGCGGTACCGCTTAAATACCTATGCCCGCGCCCGCCTATATATATATACTATATATATATATAAGATCCTACCTATATTTAATATATATACTAAATTTAAAGCTATTACTGCTACTATAATAGACCCCCTTCTCTCCCTCCTTATTATACTTATACTACCTTAAAGCGATAATAAATCTTACGATACTAATAAGGAACGCGGAGATACTATCCTACCCTTACTACTATCTCTAAGCTTTAAAACCTATAATAAGGCGTATAACTTTATCTAAAGCTTCTTTTACGAGAATAGTACCGCCGTTATTAAGCGGTTAAGCTTATATAAGTAAGATATTAACGGGATCTCCCTTATAACCTAAGTCCTCTTTATATATAATTATAGCCCGCGGTAGGCTTTTATTAGTATAGGGCTATATAAGCCGTCTACTTAAAAGCTTAACTGCCCTTTCCGCCTCGTTATAACGGCCTTATATAATAAGGAAGAAGGAGCTTAGTAGTAGACTTTTTAAGTTACTAAGGGCTACTATAACTATAGGCTATCTCTTAATCCCTTAGTATATAATATTTATCGCCGATAGACTATAATATAGTAAGCTCTTAAGTAGAACCTCTCTTAATATAAAGCGCTACTAGCTCGAGAGATATTAACTATTTTATATAAGGCCGAGCCTTTTATAGCGTTCTTTTATATTTAAGATATCTATTACGATCGCTAAAAGATCCGTTTTACCGCTCTTAGAGATATAATAGCAATATAAGCGTTCTTATAATATCTTTAAGCTAGCGATCTTCCTTACTATATTAAATTCGACCTATATAATAAAAATAAGTTTTACGGTATATTATAAACCTACCTATAGTATTAAAAGATATAGAAACGTTTCCTTAAGGTTCTTAGTATCAATAATATATATAAGACGAACCGCTTTAAGCTCTTCCTTTTCTAGGTTACTAGGGTTACTAATTAAAAGTCTTTAGTAAACTTCGCCTTTAGCCTTATTAATATAAAGAAAGAGAATAAATATTAATAGCTTTATAAGTCTCTTAATAAGCTTTATAAGGCGATTAATATATAAGAGCCTAATATAGTTATTATAAATAAAGAAGCTACCTTTAAAAACGCCCTTCTTTATATTTTCCCTCTTATATAATAATAACTCTATATATTCTATATTAATAATAACGTTTAGGCTTAAATCTAGTTATACTAGAAAGATAAAGTAAATTCTAATAGCCTTAAAAACCCTATTAATATAGAGATCCCTTTAAAGGTTAAAGCTACTCTCGCTTAAGAAGCCATTAAATAAGGCGCCGCTAAGTAAAGTACTACCGCGGCGGCTAATTAAAACCTCTAAATAGTAAAGTCGAATATAGCTATAAGGGTATATTCCTTACTTAGAAGCGCGTTATTTATATAAAGATAGAAGCGAATTTCTATAAGGTATAAGAGAGGCTTAATAAGATCTTTAGTATATAGTAAGGCTATATTATAACCTATATCTTAAACGAATATATACTATGGCGTAAGTAATAGGTAAGCTATATTATTAGCTAGTATTATAACTTTAAGTAGCGGATAAATAGCTTAGTTAAGACTACCTATAAGGATATAAAGTTATATTTAGTTATAGGTACCTTTAACCTCTTATATCTTTACGATAGCTTTATATAGATAATTAAGAATAAAGAAATAATATATATATAAAAGGCCGCTTAGTAAGAGATATAATAAAAGCGTTATTTCCTTAAGTAGACTTAGCTTAAGGATCTTAGCGTTAAAATTACCTATAAAGTAATTAACCTACTTACTACGTAATATAGGCTTGCCCTCGCCGCGATGCCCTCGCTAACGCGAGAGCTATAGCCGTTATAGCCTTATAGCGGGCGATTTAAATACTAATTTAGGCTGCCTTATATATATACGATCCTTTAACGCCTTAAAGCTAGGTTAATGCTTAAAAAGTATAATATTCTCTCGCGCTAGTAGCTTAAGAAGCTATTAGTAAAGACCCCCCCCTTTTTTAGTAATTTCTTTATTAATTATTACTATTAAGACCTTAAGGAGCTATTATTATAAATCCGCGATCCTAACGTCGTTATAGTTATACGCGGCCGCCCCTATAATAATAAGCTATCTATACTAAGCTCCCTCGTAGCGAAGGCATTGTAGCTAGCTAAGGTAGCTATAGCGGCGACGAGGTTATTATAGCTACCTAATTTAAGTTAGGCTAGCTCGAGGCGGCTTAACGCGAGTATTTAAAGGCACCGAGGGCAAGACGAGATAGACGAACTTAGCTATAGCCCGCGTTCTCTCGCAGCGTTATAATAAGGATCGTTAACCCGAGGAAATATAAGGGGAAGGGGATGAAGAGGAGGACGCGGTAAGAGGAGCGCGCCTTCGGCTTTATTAGGGCCGCCGGCTTTATTAGGCGTTAGAGGGCTCGTTAAGTAAGAGGCTATTAAGTAGGGGCGACCGCCGCCGCCGCCGCCTATATAGCCGTAAGCACTAGAGGGGTCGGATTAATTAACGGGCTAATTATTTTAACTTTAAGCTTAAGGCCCGGAAATATATTATTTAAGTAAATTAAGAGGCATACGTTATATAGCCTTTCTTGCCTTATATATAGTATATATATATAGGCGGGCGCGGGCGCGGGTATTTAGGCGGTACCGCTACCTACTATACGGGCGCGGTATAAATAAGCGGGGCGGGCTAGCGTTAGTATATATCTTAAAAATAGGGCGTATATATAAATAGATATATATATATATATAAATAGCAATACTCTAGTAGATAACCTAGCTAATAGTATAATAAAAGCGCTTATATACTAGAAATATTAAAGCTTTATTAAGTAATTAAGATTAATAATACGGCTAAAAGATATATTAAGAGATAATATACCTAACTACTATATTAAAGCGTAATATCTCCTTACTATAGTAAACTTAATAATTACTAGATTATAATAATAAGAATACTACTATATTTACTAAGATTAAGGGATTTTAATAGTATAGTTAGATCTTAATTTAGTTATAAAACTATAAAGATCTAAGGGGTAAAGGTTAGCCCTATTTACTACTAAGAAGTAAAGCTATTACTAGACTGCCCCTTAATTAGTATAATACTATAGTACTTAAACTTACGATATTCGCGATAGCTTTACTAAACTAAGACCAATTAATATAAGGAATATATTATTAAAAAGCTTACTTTTAAGATTACTTTTATCTTAAAGGATAACGTTACTAGAAAAAGTACTATAGTACCTAAGCTACTTAAAGGGATGCCCCGCTATACCCCTCCTTATAAGGAAGGTTATAAATATAACTTATAACTACTAGTTAAACGGTAAGAGTAGGTTATATAACCTTATTAATTATAAGTTCGACTCCCCTTAAAGCGAAAGAGCAGGTTATATAACTACGCCTTAGGGGGGGCGCGGGTAATAAACTTAGGGACCTAAGGGGAGAGGAAATAGAGGGCTTCTCCTTATATCCTCTCCCTTAGGTCCCGGCTTTTATCTCTTATATACTATTCTTTTTACCTAGCCCTATAATAGCTATATCCCTTATAAAAGGGGTTAATAGTAATAGCTTTTAACTACTAGTTAAGCGGTAAGAGTAGGTTATATAACCTTAATTAACCGATATTTAAACCCTCCTTAGGTAAGAGGGAGCATCTAGTACTACGCACTCTAAGGTCGCGTAGTACTAGGTGCCGAATAATATTACCTTTTACTATATTTACCTTCTTTTTATAGAATACTATTAAGAGCCTCCCCTATTTTAGGATAACCTCCTTAAACGAATAGTTAAGTAGCTAAATTTAATATTAAAATAGCCTTATATTTATTAGACCGAACGTCCCTCTACCTAATGCCTTACTATCTAGAAAGCTAAGATAGTAAGGGGGTATATTAAGAACAGTAGGCATAAGAGGCTATAGTTATACTTAGTAGACCTAATAGTTATATATAAGGAAGCCTGCCTAACTAATATAACTCCCTTAGCCTAAAGACATTATATAGGCTTAACTTAGGTATAGGAATATCTTAATGCCCTCTTTTAGCTAGCTATATATAGGCACTATACCTATATAATCCCCTCTCTTATCCTAATAGATAGACTAAGATATATATCACTAAATTCACCTTTCTATGCCCCTATTTCTTCTACTATGCTCTTAAGCCTTTGCTTGAGAAGGAGGTATAGAGGGCTAGGGAGGACGGTATATAGAAGAGAGGGGAAGCAAAATAGCGATAGCGTCCTATAGAGGTGGTGAGAGATAAGACGAGTCTGCCCGCAACGGTCATTCGGCTCGCGGCATTTATTTAGACCAGAATGGTCTATGTCGATCAGGATGGATATCCCAGCACATCCGCGTGCGGAATCTCTGCCGACAATCCAGGACATCCAGTGTCAGCCGTTGAGTTATGGATGAAACTTGGGCATGTACTACTCCGAGAGAAAGACAGCTAAGGTGGGTTGGCTTCGTTTCGTGGAACGAGGCGATTCTAGTCTTTTCCCCTCGACGCTCATGTCTGTGGTTCATGCAAGCGATGAAGTGGTCTTCTAAGTCAGAGAGCTGGTTTCGGTGGCTTGCCAGGGCAATGAGCAGGCCGGCGTCAGACCCTAGGAAGTCGGTCAGGTAGGCCGCGTGGGAGCCGGCACGCGAGACTGACGATCCAATATGGGGGGTGCCGAGGAAAATAATGCCGCATATGCTGTCGGCGACCTCTCTTGTCGCGTCCCCGGGCTTACAAAGGGCCTTGGGAAGGGTTAGACTTGGCAATATGTATAGCGTTGCCCGATTTCATGGCAACCTCCTTGACTATGATGCCCCCGAAGCTGTGGCCGATGAAGACGATGGGAACACGCTGCAATTGATGTCTGGTCAGTTGTGTCAACTTTGGGGGAGGGGGATCATGAACCCCGTACGGGGCGACCTGACCGATGCTCTGCCAGCTTGTCGAGCAGTCGATGGCCGATTGTCTGGGCTGTTTTGACAGGCGCGTCGATGAGCCAGTCGGAGTTGTGCGCAAAGCTTACTATCCTAGCCTCCGGGAAGTCGTCCCTTACGAGGGGCCGGAGTAGGTGAGTCTTTTCTCGGGGCAGTGCCTGGGTTTCGCCTGTGAGGACAATGTGCTGCACATCCACGTGTGTTCTGGATGAGCTCCGAGGCCATGGAAAGCGAGGATTCTGCGCGACAGTGTTGTCAGACGAGCCACGACGCAAGCTGGAGCGGGCAATGTCTTCTCACTCTCAAACTTGGCATCTAGAGGGTCGGAGATAATCTGGATCCCTTCAGGGCGCGGGCTCTGACGACGCTGGCGGAGCTTGGCGACGATAGGACCCAAAGTCACCGCGGCGAGCACGAGAGCTACGGCGGCGACGACACCTGTCCAGCCAGTCATGGTTGGGGACAGTCGGGGTCGACAGCCTTGTCGGCAGGATGGAGAGGGGAGCCAGTTCAGAGAAGGTCGACGATGTTGAGCGGGTAGAGGGGATGTTAAAGGACAGACGCTCGAGGGACAGACGTTCGAAGGTCAAACCGACCCCAAATCGCAGCGGCCGGGGAGGGGGGCAGCTGAATGCCGCCTCGCTCGCTCCCAATAAACACGTTTCCCACACCCCACGGCTGCTCAATGCCAGTAGTCTGCATTTTGGTATTACCACCCTCCTCAGGGTGTATGCGCCAACTCCAATCATGCCTTCCCGTTGGCTTACGCATAGCGGCTGACATGGCAATGGGCGGCTGCGCCTGGCGAAATGCCTTGTTCTAGACGCCAAAGATAAGCTCAATATGAGGTACTGAGGTCGTCGTGGCAAGGCAGTCAAGGACGGGGCAGGTGAGACATCCTTGTGCTATCAGGCCGATTCTCCAGTCAGCCCAACACGCTGATGAGCACGGTCAAAAGGCTGACGCTTGAACGCTTCTAGCCATGACCGGGAGATCAGCATATGCAGGCAAAAGTCGAACACGGTCCGAACTGAGAATCCTAGATGAAACAGATGAAATAACAGGTGGCGACGTGGAAACATGAATGGTTTTATGAAACGAAAAAAGAGACTTCCGTGATCCGACCGGGCTTGACGAACCTGACCGTCTTAGAGCTCTGCTCGAATCATGCCGAGCCGCCAGTTCCGATACCCGACAGCCTTTATCCAATTATTCACAAACATGGAACAGAAGGCCAGGATGATGAGCGCCGCTACGATGAGTGGCCCCAATATAGAAAAGACGGTAAAGCCCGAAGAGGCAGATCGGAAGGCTTCGCTGCGGCCAAGCTCGGTGGATAGCCCGACCTGCATGGCAGTGAGGACCAAGGCGACGTAGACGACGGCCGTGGCTAACCAGGCAAACGTGTCGTGGAAGAAGGCGCCGTACTGGTCCCAGTGCGACATGTATCCGCGCAGTGGACTATGCAAGAGCGAATATATCTTGTTCAGCCGGCTGAGTCGCAGCTCCCCGTGGTAGAAGCGTCGGTCGATGTGCGCGTAGATGTGCTCTGTATCGAGCTGCTCAACGAGAACTCTCCAGTCTGGCCACTCGGTGCCCGGCGGCAGTAGCTGCTTGCCCATAGCGATGCGAAAGTCACTCTCGTGCGATATGAGCGCGGCGTAGGAGAAGAGGAAGCCGAGTGCCCGCTTCCGAAGCCCTCGCTTGCGCTCCTTGTTGTAGCCGAGTTGGTTTCCGGCACAAGCGACTTGCTGCTGGTGGCAGGACAAGTATGTTGTCCAGAAGCGAGGCTCGAGCAGGAAGCGCGGGATGGGCTTCAGGAACATCCTGCCGGTGGTCCAGACGAGATGCATGTCTATGCGCTCCGTGACCAAGATCTCGCGGCCGAGTATGAGCTGATGATGGAGCGGGCGCGGCGGCGCGGGACGGCCGGCAGCCCAAAGCCAGTCGTGAATTTCGTTGAGCCGCCGGAGGTCGAGTTCCTGCTCAACACTGGCATCTACATGGCGGCCCGCGGCGGCCACATCATGCGACTCGGTGCGGTATGACGCGGGCAAGAGCGAGGCGAGATAGTCGGCGTTGGCTTCAGACGCGGCGCTGCCATGCCGCTCATCGGGCTTGAGCAGCTGGATAGAGAAAGGCGGCGGCTATCGAGCACGACCATTAGAAGCCGACATGCGTACGAAATGGGAAGAGCACCCGGCTTAGATACATGCCTCGACAGCTTCGCTCCATGGCCCGGGCCTGAAGTCGTTGGGCATTGCGATGTGGCCGAGAGTCTCAGGCGGCGTGTTCGTATGCCACAAACCCCCTTGACTTTATATTGCAACGTCGATGCTCGTATACTCAGGTTATATGCCGTGAGCCTGTGTCCTGGAGAAAGTAAACTCCCCCGCACCTAAAGTGTTACCGCGTCAGCTGCAGGGCTATGGTGCAGCAGGCCGACAGGGGCTTATTGGTTGCGAATCGTGGCGAATCTGTCGGCTCACCTTTGCCCTCTCTCTACATTAGTACTCTTTTTGCGCGTTCCGGGAAACATTGTCTTTGCCCATAATTCTCGTCGCACTCTCTAAAAGTAACTGTTGGCGCCAGTCGTATTTTAGCAATATACATATCAAGGACCCAGAGGGATCTTGACTATAGCTACGGATTGGGCCTGCTAGGTGTCAATGAATGGTCCCCTTGACCCAAGCATAAAAAGGATCCTTCGGCCACCCCTTCCTAGCTAGAACATGCATCTTGGTTTGTCCTAGAATAGCCCCCTTTTCCCACCTTCCAAGGCGCCGTCAAAGTCACCCTATAAGTTGTACTGACAGAGGAAGAAGAGGAACGGCAGGGAAGACGACGCCGCCTCACTAAGTTAGCAGTCATGTTCTATCAGCGGGAGCACAAAGTGGCAGTCCCCCGTCCAGGCCCATGGCCATTCGTCTTAAAGAGGCCAACATAGGCCCGGCAACCGGTCCACCTCTCCTTGACGCATTTCTCATAGACCAACTACCCTTGCCACTTTCACCGATGTCACGGAGCAGGTGGAGGAAAGGGCGCAGGTGCGGTTCGTATGAGAAGGTCAACAAACTACCGAGTAGTTACGGAGGGGAAAAGAAAGGAAAGAGCGGGCGCCGCGCCCACCGGTGCAGCAGCCAGCCGCTTACTATAAATACATGCTTGTCTAGCCACGTGACAAGCAACGCGGCTAGACCCCAAATTCCAACGGTCTGGGTATCAACTACCCACTGCAGTTATTAGGTCGTTACATTAAGTGAGAGAGGATGTGTATATTGCCTTGTCCTTCCTGAAAGAGCGGGTCCGCGGGTGTGGTTTCCCGACTACGTATCTGTAATTAATCTACTGTACATGTGCAATGTACATACAGTACAGTACCGTACAGCACAAGCTAGCCCCGTGACAGTACAAGATGACGCGAAGTGACCAATAAGAACAGGAGGATCCAATGCCCCTCCTTCCGCTGCTGCAGAGATGCCTGGCTCACCCAGACGCACGCCAGCGGGGCTCAGCCCGCTCACCCGCGGTCGCGCGATTGGCCGGAGCTGAGCTGGGGAGAGCCAGTTGCGCATTTTCCTCCGGGTCCCGCCATCGTCATCGCCAGCAGCAAAGCAGCAACCGCGTCGATGTGCCAAAATGGCCGTCTCGGTACCGAAAGCCCAGATTTCTTGCTTGCTGGCTGATGGCTGACCCTCGTCGCACAGTGGAAGTCGTTTGACTTCTTCAACGTTTCGCCCGTCGCCCTCGCCGACGACGACGCCCGTCAGCTCTTCGAGAGCAACGAGATATCGAGTGTCTGCGAGGGCTCCGACAGCCTCTTTGTCGGCTCCAACCATGGCTCCGTCAGCATCATCGGCAAGAGCTGGAATGTCCTCAGGAGCTTTCAGGCCCACGATGTCGGCCGCATCACACATATGCGGCAGGTCGAGGGCACCAGCGTCTTGGTGACCGTGGCCGTGAGTCTGCGAGCTACTATACTAGCCACCGAGGCCGGCCAACGGCCGGGCCTGGTTTCCGACGGTGCTGACGGCCGCTACAGGAAGACCTGAGCAGCGAACCGGTGCTCAAGGCTTGGGCCCTGGACAAACTGGTCAAGAAGACCAACATGCCCACCTGCTTGAGTACCCTGACCATCAACAACGGCAGGCGTCAGTACCCGGTAGGCATCCCCGCTGGATTCGCCGGCGCCCTCACTCACAAGGCCGACAGATATCGGCCTTTGCGGCGCTCGACGACCTTTCGCAGATTGCCGTCGGCTTCGGCAACGGCGCCGTTACCGTCATTCGCGGCGACTTGATTCACGATCTCGGCACCAAGCAGCGCATCGTCTTCGAGTCGGAAGAACCAGTCACGGGCGTGCAGCTCGCCACCGACGAGAAGCTGACCACCCTGTTCGTCTCCACCACGTCACGCATCATCAAGCTGGGCCTGTCGAGAAAGGGCCAAGGCCTGCCGCCCAAGACGGTTGAGGATGCAGGATGCGCCGTCGGCTGCATGACCCTAGACCGCAACACTGGTCAGGTCGTCGTGGCTCGCGAGGATGCCATATACACCTACTCGCTCGACGGGAGGGGCCCGCCCCGAGCCTATGAGTCGCCCAAGAGCCTCATCTCGCTGTACAAAAACTACGCCGCCCTGGCATGTCCGTCTTCGGGCGCGAGCGGAAGGGATCCTGAAGCCATGAGGCGGCGCTTCGGCGGCGGGGCGACCGATGCCCTCTTCAACGCTTCGTCGTTTGTCCTCCTGGACGCTGACCTTCGGGTGATTGCTCACACAGAGACACTGATTTCTCCCGTTCGTTTCATCTTTGGCGTCTGGGGAGATCTGTTTACAATCAATCAAGACGGGAAAGTAAGACGCGCCAATCCGCATTCATCGTGGTCTCTTCTGACGTTTTAGGTCTATCAATATCACGAGAAGTCACTGCAGCAACGACTGGAGATGTTGTACCAAAGAAACATGTTTCCGCTCGCCCTCGAACTCGCCCGCAACTCGGGTCTGGACAGTAAACAGCAGAGCTTCATCTATCGCAAGTTTGGCGACCACCTCTACCAAAAGGCAGACTATGACGGGGCCATGGCGCAGTACATTCGCGCAATGGACACAACTGAGCCGTCGCAGGTTATCCGCAAGGTAGGCCATGGCAGGAAACGGCACTGGCCGGACGGCTGCTGATGTGTCGACAGTTCCTCGACACCCAGCGAATACACAATCTCATTCAGTACTTGGAGCAGTTGCACGAGCAGAGAAGAGCGACGTCCGACCACACCACGCTCCTGCTCAACTGCTATGCCAAGCTCAAGGACATTGAGAAGCTGGAAAAGTTCATCAAATCCCCCGGCGACCTCAAATTCGACCTGGACACGGCCATTGCCATGTGTCGCCAGGGCGGGTACTACGAGCAGGCGGCGTACTTGGCCAAGAGGCACGGCGAAACGGAGCTTGTCGTCGACATCTTGATAGAGGACTCAAAGAGCTATGCCGAGGCGCTGGACTTTATCTGGCGTCAAGATCCGGAAGTTGTATGCTCTGCCTTGTCTCCGCATGCCCGGGACGTGTCTCTGACTGCCTCTAGGCTTACCCCTGTCTCCAAAAGTACGCTCGTGTGCTCATCGAAAACTGTCCCAAGGCGGCGACCTGTCTCTTTGTGGATTATTATACGGGCAAGTACAGACCAAAGCGTGCCTTGGCCGCCGTGCGGGACGGCGAGACGCCGCCATCTGGTGGTTTCGCTGCGAATGCAGTGCAAAACCTGTCTAGCCTTCTTCCGTTCCCCTACATGAATGCTTCGTCTGTAGCGACGCCCTCGGCCATCGGGATCGCAGGGGAGCCCACTGGCGAAGCAGAGGCGGGGGTGGCGGCAGCAGCAGCAGCAGCAGCCGGGGACCGCGACGACGACCCGGCACCAAAGTATACGCCTCCACCGCCTCGGAACGCGTTCTCGTCCTTCATCGACCACCCCGACGAGTTTATAGTCTTCCTCGAGGCCTGTTTGGAGGAAAAGGAGCTACAGGCCTCGGACAAGACCGACTTGTACACTACGTTGTTTGAGATGTACCTGCAAAAGTCAAGTGACAAGAATGCGCAGCGCGACAAGGAGGCGTGGGAAGACAAGGCCAAGAAGCTCATCGAGGGAGAGCATGTGCCCATGGAGAGCTCAAACGTCCTGCTCTTGTCACACCTCTCCGACTTTAAACAAGGCACCGTCTTGGTCAAGGAGCAGGCCGGCCTGCTGTTTGACATTTTCAGATCTTACACGTCGGCCAAGGACACGAGGGGTGCGATGAAGGCACTGCACAAGTACGGCCCGGGGGAGCCGCAGCTGTACCCTGCGGCACTGGCCTACCTCGCGTCGGACCCGCGGGTGCTCGAGGAGGCGGGGCCAGAGGAACTGGCGGGCATCCTGTCCAAAATTGACAAGGACAGGCTCATGGCTCCCCTGCAGGTGATCCAAACCCTGGTCGGACATTCGTCAGGCCGCGGGGTGGCGACGATGGGCATGGTCAAGCCGTACCTGCACGAGACCATTACACGCGAGCGCCGAGAGATAGCGACGAACCGGCATCGCATCGACACGCTGCGTACCGACACGGAGAAGAGGCGCTCGGAGCTGGCGGACCTGGGGACCAAGCCGGCCGTGTTCCAGGCGACGCGGTGCTCCGACTGCGGCCAAGGGCTGGACCTCCCGGCGGTGCACTTTCTCTGCAAGCACAGCTTCCACCAGCGGTGCCTGCGAGGCGGAGGGGACGAGGAGCGGATGGAGTGCCCCAAGTGTGCGGGGGAGAATGAGGTGATTCGGAAGATGAGGGAGGGGCAGAGAGAGACTGCGGGGAGGCACGAGCTATTCAAGGGCGACTTGGAGAGGAGCGAAGACCGGTTTTCTACGATTGCGCAGTGGTTCTCGCGGGGCGTCATGGATGTCGGGCGGGACCCGGAGTAGCCTTGCAGTGTCAAGGCGGAGACGCGAATAGATGCGAGAGGAATCACAGGGCGGTGCAGTCAATTGGGTTGTCCTTGGGGGCGTTCGAAGGAATCTAGAGAGATGTGAGATGCGTTTGCTAATGAGGTCTGTTGACTCCATCACGAACCTGGTGATGGTGGATTACCCTGTACTCGATACACCTTGAGTTTGAGACGAGCGCTTCCTCCCGCCGGGCTGCAATGAACCTTTTTAAACTACTTCGTATAGACACCTTATTACTAAACACAGACTTGCAACCTACAAAGTGTTGCTACCGCCCTGCACCCTAACCCAACGCATGGCAGAAGCTTGGCCGGCAACGCAGCCTCGACACACGATGGGCCCCAACTCGAAGCAGCTCGTCGACTTCCTGTCGCGCTCGCTCAGCGCATTCCAGGCGTCGCGGGACCCGCTGCGCGTCCTCTGCACGCTGCCGCACCACGGATCGCCGGGCCCGCGACGGCCTCTGCAGCGGGTGCGGCGGTTGGTGGTGCTGGACTCGAGCTTCAACCCGCCGACGCGGGCGCACGCGCGGATGGCGAGGGCGGCGGTGCGCGAGGGCGGGCCGGGGGCGCGGCTGATGCTGCTGCTGGCGGTGAACAACGCGGACAAGGCGCCCAGGCCGGCGAGTTTTCCCGTGAGGCTGGGCATGATGGAGGCGTTGGCGAGGGGATTGCTGCTGGGGGGTGTCGGGGTCGAGATTGACGTGGCGGTGACGACGATGGCTTTTTTCCACGACAAGGCTCGCGCGGTGGCGGAGTCGGGCTTCTACCACGACCAGTGCCAGGCCATGACGGATGGTGGGGAGAAGCGGGAGGCCGAGCCCGAGCAGGTGTTTCTCGTTGGCTTCGACACTCTGGTGCGCATCTTCAACCCCAAGTACTACAACGACCAAGGGCCGGCATCGTCGACGACGACGGCGATGCAGTCGGCGCTGGGGCCCCTGTTCGAGCGTGCGCGGCTGCGGGTGACGACGAGGCCGGACGACGCGTGGGGGTCGCGCGAGGAGCAGCTCGCGTACGTGCGAGGCCTGGAGCGGCTGGGCGAGGTCGGGGGACGAGGGGAATGGGCGGCGAGGGTGGACGTTGCGGAGGAGGAGGGGGGAACGGCGGGGGTGAGCAGCTCGCGAGCGAGAGAGGTGGTGAGGACAGAGGGGGCGGGAGGGCTGGATGGGCTGGTGGATGGGGAGGTGAGGCGGTGGATTGAGAGCGAGGGGCTTTATCGGGAGTGACGATGTGGTCTTGTGGTGGTTTGGCCTTGGCCTCTATGCCCTCATCAGAGTTCCGCCTGCCCTCTCTGCTCAGGGGACTGGAGGTTGGTTTGCCTGCTGGACGTGGAGAAGCAAGAGTCTATCAAGGCCATGGACGGTCTACGTGGGCATCGCTATCCGTCGTCGTCTTACGTTCGACTCTGGTGAAGAGCCTGTGGGACGGCATCAACAAGAGGCCACAATGTCTTCGCAGTGGTGAATCGCCAGTCTCTCGTCTTCTCGTCCCTCCTCGTCCTGTTCCCCTTCTGGGAGCTGCCCGGCGCGCCCCACCGCCTGTTCCTTGCCGTCGTTGGCTCCAGCAATTGACGGAATTTTCACCGTCGTCCAGGTTCGGCCTGGCTCGGTGCCTGAATCCCTGCCGGCGCTGAGCGAGCATTCACGCTAGATCGGCAGGCGGGCGGACGTTGTGTTGGTGTTGTGGTCTGATGTTGCCGCTCTACGGAGCCAAGCCTGCAGAGAGTGTGCTCTTGGGCTCTGCTCTTGTCGCGGACATGGGACAAACACAGAGAGTCGCATTGATGAAGCACGTCAGGAAGATCTGGGCAGGTCTCACGAAAGCAGCAGAGCGCACACTCGACAAGCATCAGAGCGAGACCGGCGAAAAAGGCAGGGATCAGCTCTGTGGCCTGATTCTGCGACTCCATCCCCGAAATAATTACTCCATCCAACTGCAGCGCCCGTCTCCATCCTCTCGCCGCAGCACCCAACAGTGGGGACTGCGCAATCTGCCGGCAGAAAAAAAAAACTCTGTAGGCGGTCAGGCAGCGATGGCCCGACCCCACCAGAGCAGTATAAATTACCCTCGACGCCGCCCGTCTTTCCGTTTCCTTTTCTCTTTTCTTCTTCACGTCGACAATACTTCAGTATGTGCACCCCCAACTGGGACTCCCTTCACCACCACCGGCCCTTGTGCTAACGACCCTTTCAGGAGAATCATTTCTATAGTATTCGACCTTCTCTTGGTTCCCTACAAGAGCCACAGCACCCGCCCTGGTTGATGAGTGCATATCCCCGACGCCCTAGAGTGAATACTCTTGGTCCTCTCGCTCTGTCCGCAAGGATGGCGGCGCCGCCCTCGTGGTGGCTGCTGTATAGAGAGATGCTCCGTTCCCGTCCTTTGGGCGTGGAACTTTTGATGATCTCGACCCCGTTCGCGGTCAGCCTTCGGGCGCGTGGGCGGGGTGGGTGTCGGTGGAAGTCTGACAGGCGTTTTTATCTTTTCATTACATTCTGGACTTGTCCTGGGTGTGAAGAAGAGCCATGGGTGTCGAGTAGTACAGGGGAGGCGGCGCTGGTTTTTAGGCCCAAGCGCGTCCTGAAGAATTTGTTATTTGATGGTCGATGAAACCAGTTGCCCAACGTCGGGCTATTCTGGTTTGCCTATCCCCCTCTCGGTCTTGCTGCGGGAAGTAAAGGCTAATGATGGGCCCTGATCATTCTCATGTCAACCTCTCCCAATCCGGCCACTCCATCTCCGCTGCGACGAACGGTTCGTGCTTGAGCCTTCTCTAATGGGATAAATCACGGCCAGCAAGAGAAGCGGCCGAGAATCAAAGTCAAATGTGATGCAGAGCGCGCGGCCTGTTCCCGTCTACATCTCCAACTCCTCCACCTCCATGCCGCACTCGACACACGTCTTGATCGTCATGCCCTCCTCGTTCTCCACCGTCCGCCCCCACTCGTGAACGTGCCTCGCGCCGCCGACCGCGTCCCCAAACTTGCTCGCCCCCGTCCTGCCCAGCGTGCCGGCCTGGCGGCGAAACGCGTCGGTCCGCGTCTTGCGCTTCAGGTCCATGAGCTTGTCCTTGAACTTGGCTTCCTTGCGCGCCTTCTTCTGCGCCTCGCGCCGCTCGAACTCGGCGTCGAGCGCCTCGGCCGATCCCCACTTTGTCTTGATGGCGTACTCTTCCACCTGGAAGCGCAAGAACAGCATCATGTCGTGCCAGTGGGATTTGTGGGGGTTGGGTCGGGAGAGGTGCGGGAGGAGCTCGGGGTCACGCAACTCGGCTGTGGTCCGTCGTTAGCTGGCATGGAATAGACAAGGGACGTTGAGTACTCACGATCCGTCAGCAAGTAGTCCTCTTTGCACTCCGTCTTGGTCAGGAGCGAGTACTTTTCAGGGATCTTGTCCTTGCACCGGTGGCAGACGCAGATGTGAAAGACCTCCTCCCAGACAAAGTCAATCTCGAGGCTCCTGCACTCCCTGCACCGCTTGCGCTTCTCCTCGTCCTCGAGCACGCTGAGGCCCGGCTCAAAGGGCCCCGCCTTCTGGCGCTTGAGCTTGCGCATCAGCTGCAGGCGCTCCCACTCCTGGACGCTCATGTGCTTGGGCCGCAGCTCGTCGGCTGGCTGGCCGGGCTTCTTGGCCCCGAGGGCGTAGTTGTGGGGGTCGTCGTCCGTCGACAGGAAGCCGCCCTTTGTGTCCGTCATGGAGCTCATGTTGTAGTCGACAAACTTTGCAAACTTGGGCGCCGGCCGCAGCGCGCCGTCGTCGCCCTGCTTGCGGCCATCGCGGTTTGAGCCCGCGGCGGCGGCGGTAGCAGCGCCGGATATCGAGCTGTGGGGACGCTTGCCGTTGATGGGCTTTGCGACGTGAATGTCTGCCGTCTGAACAAAGCCCGAAGTCGTCCTGGGCGGCGACGGCAGGGTGCCCGATGCGCGCTGCTCGACTTCACGCTGATCTCGAATAGCCTTGGCGCGCAGGCGGCTCTCTTCCTGACAGCAGGCCGGCTTTTGTCAATCCACAGAGGCCGCGGCGAATCTCGCACAGAACAGGGCACGTACTATCCGCCTCGTCACCTCTGGAGTGGGCGGCGAGGCGACGGGCGGCGCTGCCTTCGACGGCGGCGGCGTTGTCGTGCGCTCCATGTCGGAGAGCCTCTCTTGATACTCTCCGCCCGTTGTTCGCCGCCAACAGCTTGGGCGTGAATGGGCGACAAAGGGAGTCGGGCGGACGAGAAATGCACAGGCGGTGTCCGAGTGTGATGCGACAAGCGTAATGGAAAAGGCGGCTGCTCAGAGTCGAGCTGGAGAAGACGGGGTTTGGCGAGGACCGATGCCGTCACAAGATACCAACTCCGCGGCCCTGGGACGCAGACAGTGCGCCGTCGGTTCCTGACTTGTTACTAAGCAAACCGACCACACCAGCGACAACCCCGGTAATTTCCTAAATAGGAAGTATCACAGACTCGTGGCCGGCATCAAAGAGCTGTTTGGAAAGAGCCTCCTGTTCGCCACGGCCAGCTATATTTAATGTACATGCCCCTCTGGTATTCTGTCGTCTCTCATTCGTTCACCCTTGATTTTGGTAAAAATCTCGAGAGTCGATCTTCCCTCGCGCAAAGCCTTCGAGAGTTCATCTTCCCTTGGACGAAGTCCCCGAGAGTCAATATTTCTTTCGGCAAAAAGCTCAAGAGTCCATCTGCCCTTGGCAAAGGCCTCGAAAGTCCGTCTTCCCCTCATCAACAACCTCAAGAGTCCCTCTTGTCTCGCCTCGGACCTCCTCTCTCTGGTAAGAAAAGGACGAGATTTAGAAACCCACGTTGAACGTATAAGCGCCTCCATCTAACACCACTCGCTTAAAAAAGCCATTCACAGGCCCTGTTATTGCAACGCAATACGACCGACCATGAGCTCCCACCGGTGTGTAAAGTGCAGAACGGTGTGGCAAGAGCAATACATCATGCCAGAGTCGCTTTCCGCCTCTCAGCCAGAATGCTTGAACTGCGCCCATTTCGCGGGCGCATCGCATCCCTCCTCCTTTTACAGCAGGTCGGGTTCCCAGAGGGGCTCCGTCTCCGTGACGCGAGACGGGCAACCCGCCAGGGTGGTAGACCACTTTTCAAACATGGGATTCACTCAAACTTCCAACAGGGGCTCGGCAGCCAGCAACAGCAGAGCCTCCGTCCTGAATTCGAACAGTGGTGCCATGGCATCCAGCTCCAGCAGGACTCCCGGCTTGCAGGGCTTCAGGGGTACCGCCGTCTCCCAGTCCAGCAGGATGACCGCTATACCCGAGGACAGTGTGCTCGTCCCCAGCTTCAGCAAGCTTTCCATCGCCGAGTCCAAGAGGGGCTCCGAGTCCAAGAGGGGCTCCGAGTCTAAGAGGGGCTCCGAATCCCACTCCAAGGAGTCCAAGCGAAGCTCTACCAAACGGTCAAGCTCCGACTCCAAGCGAAGCTCTGACAAAACCAAACTTACGCTCGATATCGAGAGTGGCCGTGTTAGGGAGCACCTGGGGGCAGGCTACAGCTCCAAGCGAAGCTCTAGCAAAGAGCCAGGTTCCAACTCCAAGCGAAGCTCGAGCAAAGATCCAGGCTCCAGCTCCAAGCGAAGCTCTAGCAGAGCGCCAGCCACGCGCACCGACGATTCGGCCGCGACCATGAGGCAGTCCAGGATGGCCCCAACGGGTGCCCCACTGACGCAGCTGTCGCAGGCTCCAGTCCCCACTGTACCTCAGCAGACCATCATACGCCCACAAGGCTCTGGCAGGTACAACGTCTCAAGCTCGGGTAAGTTCGAACAGCAAGACCTCGACTACCCCTTTGAGCAAGGAACATTCCGTTGGGTCGCCAAGGGGTGCTATGACGAAGGACCTCGCTTGGGGAAAACCTGCATTGCAAAATGGTTCAAGTCTGGCCATGTCTTCTCCGATACTTTCTTCGAGATGGACATTCACGCTGTTGACAAGGCCATGTACTTCATCCAAAAATTCAATGAGCAGCGAGTTGTCGACAAGTGTATCAAGATCAACGTACCCTTTGTCGGTACATTCACGGGCGGAGAGTCGGAACCCGAATGGGCAGGCCGGAAATGCCTGATGGAGCCTTTCATTGACGGCTACCAAAAGTTTAACAGTAACTCCGGATGGACTGACGAATCTGATATATGGGGAGCAGTCATGCAGGCCCTTAGCCACTTCAGCTATCACGAGTCGGGCGGCAAGTACCTCTTGTGCGACCTCCAAGGTGGCATTTACCAGGAATCGATTGTGCTCTCTGACCCCGTCATTATGTCTAAGACCCGAGAATTTGGCATCACGGATCTTGGTGAAGATGGGATCAACACGTTCTTCAGCCAGCACAAGTGTAACAAGTTTTGCCGCAAAAGCTGGAAACGACCGGAGGCTGCCCAGAAAACCATGAGTACCGTCCAGAGCACTACCATGCTGCCACTCAAAATGCCTAAGAGGTGGTCTCGGCCCGCAGAGACAATGCCTGCTCGCTAGTTGGAAGATTCTGGGGAACTCTCTCTGGAACTGGACTTCACGGAGTCCATGGAATGTCTCGTAGGCATTCAATCCGCATAATGGAGGATGTTGGCTTGGTTGGGGAAGGACCGTGAACATTTATAGACTTGGATTTCGACAGTGCGGGAGGAAAGAGGAAGAGCCAGATAATTATCCTAAGAAAGATCGGCCACCCGCACAGAACTGGCATAGATCAATGGCATTTACACTCATGGAACTCGGCGTCGCTGATAAGGCATAGATATGTTAGAGGCACTCCCACGTTGTAGTCAGCCCGGATCACATGCCGAGCCCCTGCGACCGGTGGACTTCCTTTGGCAGAACAGCGCTCGTGATGAAGAGCGGGGGGCCTGCAATCATGACTTTCAGAGTCTTTCTAGGAAGATCTAGGAAGAATATCTGGAAAGTTGCTCGCGTGGCTGTAGCTTGCGAGGCATCTGCCAGGCTCAAGCGCGGATCCGGATGCAGCCAGATGGACTCCATTGATATCACAATTCCCTACTAAGAAGTGCGCGCTGTTGCAGGAGCACATTTCCTTGCAAACAGTGGGGATTCTTCTTACACCTATCAAGGAACGAGAAGCTACATGCCGAGCAAATGAGTAGATGTAGTTGTCGCGAAGCGTGGCCTGATTTCGCAGGTCTCGGAGATATCCCTAGGCAAGAGAGATCTAGGAAGCTGAAAGACTGGTGTGGAAGAAGGAAGAAGGAGTTAAAAGGAGGTGTAGAGAAGAGGGTAGGGGAGAGAGGGGAAGTAGAAGTGGCGATAGCTTCCTATAGAGGTAGCGAGAGATAAGACAGAAATGCTGGCAACGGCTAGAATAGAGGGGAAAACCCGGCAAAAAGCTCGGTAGTTAAGAGGACATTAGTAGCTTCTTTAAGCAAGATCTTCTTTATTAATTAGGATGCTAAAGGGATATAAAGAAGGGCCTTAGATAAAGGAAAGAAGTATAATTAAGGTAATCTCTAACACGCTGCTTCCGCCTCCGGAAATGGCCCCTCCCCGATCGGGTATCGCGCCCCCGCCGCCCTGACCCCGCCCGTGCCCCGTGATCCTGGTTGTGTCGACATGGCAGGAATATAAATATCTCAACACCTGCCCTCGCTCGTCGACATGTACTCTTGACTTCTCTCTCCTTCCACAACACGCTCGGCCCTTGCTGCCGCACCCTGTCCTCCGCCTCCGCCCGCCTTCCTTATGCACGCCGTCTTCATCTCGCCTACACCGCCAGTCTACCGCCGACCTCTATGCAGACCTCTTCGCTTCGCCCTCTACCGCCAGACGCGTCTACGCCCCTTTCTTCTAGAAATGCCGCCGCCGCTATTGCTACTGCTAAGCATACGTGTCTTTATCGTTATATAATGCGCCTTCTTTGACTTAAATAAAGCTATTATGTCTAGGTGTTGTTATCCGTCTAGCTATAAGTTCTGTCCCTAACCTAACCTCGGACTGTCTTATCTCTTGCCGTCACGGCTGCCCCTCCGGACGCTAGCCCCTATTTAGTAGGTAAAGGAAGCCTATAAGCCCCTTAGTCGGTCACGAAAATGCGCGGTTGCTAATAGCGCTAACGCGTGATATAAGGGGCAGATCCATTGACTAACACGGCCAGACCGGCGCTATCCTTAACGAGCTACATTACCCCTTTCGCGCCACGGACTAGTATAATATAAGGAGGAAAGGCCAGCGCATGGTCTATTAATACGAGGGACACGGCCCGGCGTTCCCTTAGCCGGACTCTTTCCGATGCACTATCTAAGGTATAACTAAGCCCCTTTTTATTAATTTTAGCCGTTAATAGAGGGTCGCGAGGAGGCAACGCGGTATATATTGCTACGCTAAATATAAGCTAAGAAAAGGCGCTTTAAGGACGCCTATAACTAGGTGCCGAGCCTTATCCTTTAATCTAGGCCGTAGAATATAATAATAGGATAGGAGCACTAAAGCTAATTAAGGACTAATATACAGAGCCTAAGGCTAACTCGGAGCTACCGAGTATAACTAGCCGCTAATAGCATGAGCCGGTCTATAGTAGGGTTACGAGGAGGATTCTATAGCATCCTTCTAGCCGCGCCCGGTATAGTCCGATAGCTATATAATTAGCAGAGAGTAATAGGAGAAATAAGAGGCTAGCTTACGCGGGTCTAGCCCTATATATTGTTTTAAACGAACGGACTAACGGAATAATGCGAAAGTCCGAGAGCACCTAAAGCCTAGGGAGTATATTTAAGCCGAGGTAAGGGGAGCGTCGGCTAGAGTAGTAAGCGCGGCTCGCTTATATATTTAAGGCATCTAGTACTCGTGCTCCTAATAATACTTCTTAGTAAAGTTCTCTAACTATTTATAAGCGAATAGCGTTACTTACTCCTATAAAAGATTCGCTTACCTTAATAATAACTTCTACTATTACTCTTAATAGCTAAGCCTTTTAGGTTCCTCCCCCGGGGGGTAGTAGGTAGATAAAGTAGCTATAGCTAAGGCTACTACGGCTATTAACGTAGTAGTAGTATCTATTTACTTCTACGACCTCGCGATAAGCTTTATCCCCTAAGGTAGAGGTAGGCTTAAACCGTATACCCGCTATCTATAGGCGATATTTAAATACGCTAATAATAATTCTATCTAATATAGAATCTAAGGCTAATAATATAGATAACTAAGTTAAGGGTAAGGGCGATAGTCGTAATAGTTAGGATATAGATAACTCGCGGTCTCTTAATATACTTCTATCGGCTAACGCTATTATTATATCTATAGCTAAAGTATAGACTAGTAGCCCTAATAGTATAGGTAAGTTCTTATATACCTTATTACCTATAAGTTAGGGGGTTAACGAATAGGCTAGAATGCCTTAGCACGGTATTTAATAGAGCTAGTAAGGCCAAGGAATCCCGCTAGCTAGGTTTATTAACGGTTAATTAAGCTAGTAGAAAGGCCACGATAGGTACTAGACTATTAATATTAATATCGGTCTTAAGCAGCCCTATAGCGCCTTCGCCTATACTAGCCCTAATACCGCCTATATATAGCTTGCCTTAAGCGGATAAAGCGTTATAGAGCCCTACTAAGAGCATTCTAAACTAACTAAACTATCTGCCTATAAGTAGCATTCTTATATAACTTAGTAACGTTTCTAAAATATATAAGGATTACGCCTTAAAATAGTAATCCCTAGGGATTTTAGTAAGATAAGACCTTAAAGCCGGCGCCTATAAGGACTATAGTACGGAGACCGAGTCCTAGTATCTAATTAACCTACTACTAGAGGCTTAGGGATTATACTCCTTTAAGAGCGCGAATTAAAGTAATAGTAACCTAGCCTAAGGTAATTATAAGATTAGTAGTAAGGCCTAGCGATATTAGATAGATACTTCCGACGATTACGATAACTATTCCGGCGGCGTATATATCGATATAGAGTATTATCCCGCTATAGCGAATAGCGGCGAAAGGGGAGGCTAGGAGGACGGCGTAGCCTACGACGCTAACGACCCTACTAAGTAATCTCCGCGTAAACGTTAGAAGGTTAAGTATAATTCTACTACTACGAAGCCCTAGCGCTATAGTAGCAACGTATCCCGTTTCCTACTAATACGAAAGGTTAAATATACGTTAGTACGTAGTATACCTAGTCTACTAGCGTCGTATAACTTATCTAAAGATAGAAACGTTAGGATATCCGCCGTAATATTTAAGAAGTAGCCTCTATAGAACGTTATATTTAAGCGGGTTATCGTAGATAGCGTAGGTATATTCTAGCTATAATTTAAATAGCTATTTTATATATCGTATAGCTAAGGAAGTATTCCTATAGGTAATACGCGCCGTACTATAACTACTAAAGCGACTAGCGGTTAGGTAGGGCGGACTTCCGGTATAAGAGCTAAGTTTACGCGTAAAGAAGATAACCTACTTACTAAGCTAAGGAAAGAATAGGGCAACCTCTCGTAAGCGGAGATCTATAAGCGTTTTAATAATACGTTTCTAGGGCGGTCTTATAGATACTTATAAGTATACTATTATACTAAGCTAAAGTATAGCGAATAATATTTATTACTTAACGATACTATAGACCTTTATATTCTTTTTTAGAGCTATAGATTATAAAATAATATCGGTATAGCGCTTATTAGGTTAAATTTATATACGTACTATAAAAGCAAAATAATTATAGTAACTATCGTCTAACTAGTTATCGTACAATACCTCTTACGGCTACGCGTAAGTGCCCTTAGCTATAAGATAAGACGCGGTATCTCCTTCTAGTCTTTCCGTTCTAACCTAATTATAAAATACTAGCCTCTCCTTTATCTTAATTATCGGCTACTATATAGTATTATATAAGATATAATAGGGACTCTATATCTAAAGCGGCGCCGAGGTAATACTTATATAAGTCTAGCCGCTATTTATATTACTCTAGATACTAAAGGTCCTTTAGTTCCTCCTCCGCTCTTCTATAGTACGTATATAACTTACCTTAACTCCCCTTCTAAGATAACCCTAGAATAAGAAGTCTCCGTATACTAGTAGGTATAGAGATATAATACTATCTGCCTTAAAGCTTAATCTATAAATTTACGAAAATAATTATTTAATATAGTCGTAATAGTCCTAATCGCTATATAGGGATATCGTCGGGTTCCTTAGCGTAATAATATCGGCCTCGTCTAAAGTAAGCCGCTTATAGTAGGCTCTATATATAGTTTCTTTATTTTAAGTACCGGTATTAACTTACTTTCGCACCCGCTCCCTTTTTATACTAAAAGGAGGGGCTAAAAGGATTAATATCGTTTATAATAGCCTAGACCGGACTAAATTATAAGTATTAAACGTAGTAAAATAAGCCGAACGCCTTATCTTCGCCCTACGGTATAGCTACGCTTAGTAGCACGATCGACCGCACTTACACCGGCCGTAACTAGTAGAAGTCGCCGTAGAGGATCGCTGCCGGGACCCTACTAAAGTCTTAAGGCGACCCC